CACCTCCAGCTATGATTAAAGGCGTGTTTGTTCGTCTCACAACAAATGTACCTCTACCACCTCCAGCAGTTTTTAAGTTGCGCTCTCCTTTTTTCCCTTCTTGACCAACAAGTATATGAATGATCTCATCTTTGGTCAAAATAAAGTTTCCAATCATTCGTGCCCCTCTTCCACCGTTCTTAATGATACTGTCCTCACCGTACCCCCCTGAGGCTCCTATTACTTCTATTCTGTATTTGCCAGTGTGTGGCACAGTCCATTGTTGAATACCGCTGGACAATGTAACTTGCCCGTCGTGATCCTGACCTGTGTAGTGATTTCCAATTCGGACTGGACCCTTACGTCCACTCTTACCAAGAGTTGTAAACACTGCTGTAAATCCTGTATAATAATCGCAAAATAAAACAGAAAGTTAAGGTAGCTAAGGAATTGTCAAATTGTTTTGGGTACTGCCATTGTTGCATACTACAGCTTAAAAAAAATATTCCTGTAAATTCGGCAGAATAAGATAACGAAGAAAAAATCTCCAGAAAATCCCACTAACAAGTAAGACTTCCTAAGTTGATTATTTTCTTCCGAACCCATTAATAAGTATATCTTCATAACGGTATCTTCGCAGTGGCTCTGGCAACAAACAGATCTGAATCTACTTTCAACCGCAAATATGTTGTCACTCTTGCTGGTTACCCCCAGGAAATTGGTGAATTCACCAAGCTGCATACCTTTCAACGCTGCAAAATGCAAATCTGTTCACATCTTTAAGAAGAAAACTCCTTAACTTGACCTTGGTTGACCTTGATGGACATCGCTCTAGTGTGTACCTTAAGCTTAAGACATAGGCATCACTGATAACCGTGATCTCCAATGGGCAGAGCATGCAGAAGAAATCACCTCAAAGGCCAACAAAACCCTTCGCAAATCAGGCGAGTTTGCCGCGATGTCAATCACGTTTAGATAAGAAAGCTGCTGTAATATCCTGTGGTCAGACCCAAACTTGAATAATGCTCCTTCCTATGCTTTCCTTGTACCATCATACATGGAGCATTAATTGAGAACATCTAAAGGTGTCCAATCAAGTTT